CGGTTGCATTTATTGATTCGTACCTCTTCCATACACTTCTTCACACTTACAACGCGTCGTCGACTTGAAACTTGATCAAGTCCTCCACAGGGAAACGGAAGAGTGTGGCAGCTTGAGCTTCGGACGCCAACTGTTCGACACTTGCCGAATCGCTGCGACGTTGGAAGCTGCTGTGTTCTGCGATGCGATCGTAGTGTGTAGCATTCTCCGCCCCGTCCAGCTTGTTGCTCACTAAAGCCTCGGCATGTGGCATATCGGTGACCTCCTGGGCCACAATCGGATGTTCAAAGTCGACCAGACCCTCCGGTTCAGAGCGGTCACTGCGCGAGATTTGTTGTTCCGGTGAATTTGTTGAATTTGAATTATGCGACTGATGGCGAGGCTCAATCGGTGGCAGAGACTCTCTCTCCTCCATAATTATATTACGATTCATATTTTGTGGTGGATTGTAAAAGGGATTATTGGATGTGGGTGCCGGTAGTGCTGGTAGTGCATTTTGTTTTTGTTTAGGGAAAAGATTCAGGTGAACCATTATTTCATTTTGATTACCCTTAAAGCCATTCGACGGACCACTGCCACTCACAACGGCTGGGTTAGCCATGTGTGGTGAAATGTCTACCGGCATGAAAGGTGTTTGAAATTGTGACTTTGAAACTTGGTCAGGAAAACTAATTTGCATGTTGCTCGATTGGGGCATGTGAGGTGGTAGTTGGGGTTGTACAGACGAAGGAAATCGGAACGGAGCAAAAGGCGGTTGATCATATGCATGGTTGAAACCGTAGGCGGCCGTAGAAGGGATCACAGGGATGGAGTAGTGGTCGAGAAACGGATTGCGAACTGCATGTGGCCTACGGGTTGACGAAGACAATTTAACTTCATCATAGGTGAAGGCAGAAGGTTTGAAGTCTCTTGTGGGTGGTAACATCGGGTAGATATCAAGGTTGACTTTGAGGGGTACTCGTGTCATTTTCGCACGTTGCGCGTCACTGATCTCCAACAGTGGCTGATAGCCAGTCATGTATGGATCTGTGGCGAATGGTCGCTGATTGCTGAATTGCTGTAGCATCATATTGGTGTTTGTGTTCATCGGTTTTTGTTTGTTTTTCTTTTTATTTTTCGGAAGGTTGCTCTGGAGTTGTAGGGCCAGCAAATTGATGTCGTTCGGCGAACGTGGTTTGAAGGGATAAATCTGATCCATAGCAATGCGCTGCTGATACGGCGCATGTGGCATCAAGTTCATGAGGGGTGCCGGAAAAGGTTTCATCATTTGCATATTCATTGGTATTGTCATGGGTATGCTGAATTGCATTTGCTTCTTATTCCGTTTGCCGCGGAAAAAATTGGCTATGCCACTAGACTTGAGATTTCTCAATGAGCCCGCAATGTGCAAGCCTGTGGGCATCATCACCATTGGTGGCACTTTACTCGGTCCACCGCCCAACTGCAATTGGTGCAGTATGTCTTGTATGTTTCTTACGTCGCCGCGCTCCTCTTCAGTCTTCTTGAACTCTTGCGGCAATGGGCCTTCGTATGGAAAGTGGAAGGGTTTTGGCTTCTCCTCATCTGCAAAAGTCGAATTGATCGGTATATCAATGTACTGTCGTCTGCTAAGCAACATCGATGGTTGACGCGAGGTAAGACGCGGTGGACGGGGTATCTGGTCACGCAGATCGCTCCGCACCGGTGTCATTGTAGATGAACGTCGGGGCAATTGTTCGTACAGATGCAGGGATTGCCGCTGACGTCCGTTTTCAATATTTGCCGTTGGTCGATAATCACTGTCAATACCGTTGAACCGCCCCTCACCACCCATGCCGAATGCATCGCCGCCACCGCTGGCTGTAGCGCCCACAAACGGCAGTGGTTGCGGTCGTCTCGCTTTCGTGCGCCATGTTCCATAAAGCGGCTGTTCATACACCGAACTGCTGCTACCAGCAGCCTCACCGCCAACGCCAACATCGGCACGCTCTAGTAAATATGCCGTTTCGCGACTCTTGCTAGCATGCAACTTTTCCTCTTGCTCATGCTGGATTTGTTGCTGTTGGTATTGTTGTAGTTGTTGCTGTTGCTGTAAGTGCGCCTGAGCACGCATCTCCTCCAAACCGTTGACTTTGATGTGGTTCGGTGTTCTCAGTGGTCGCGTACGCAGCTGCACTGCATGTGTTGCTGGCAACTCGGTGCGTAGCTGAACCTCCTGACCATCGATCTGCACCACAGTGGGCAATGTGGTGCCGCCGCTTGTTGGGTTGTAGCTTTGTATGTTGCGCGTGCGCAGCGCAGCTGTTTGATTCTGATAATATTCAGCGGTGGATGCGACCTTCACTATCATCAAGGACATCTGAGGATGAGAGGAAGAGAGCAAGTCTCTCTCAATTCATTGAAGTTCTTTTACACAATCATTAGAAAAAGAAGAAACAATGTTTCTAAACTTAACATATTGCACCGTCTGTTCTAAAGTCTTATGGCTATGAGCATTCAAAGGCCTCCAATCAAAAGTGTAAACAGAAACCGGATAACTGATTCGAATGACATTAGCGGTCCTAATTATTATGTTAGTGAAAATAAAGAGGAAAATTGGAAAGAATTCCAATGCGAATTTTAAGACAGCAGTATAAATGGCTTTAAATTGTACTTATTTAAGCACTTACTGCTACTTTCTCCATTGTCCACATTATTGGGACGGGTCCATTATACGGTCGAAAACCCAAATTAACCGGTAAACGTTTTATGCTGCTAAAATAGCAACTAATTAATTTCATATCTTCCTATCTATTGATATCCCAATTCTGAAATTCTGATAATTCTGCCGTCGAAGAAACTCCCATTCATGGGAACCCTTCCTCTGTCCATTCATTTGGATGCAAAACCATAAAGCAATTACGCATATAATACTCTGGTGGTTATTTCCAATGGCCTATATATATAATAACTGTATTCTTGTTGGATTCACAAATTCGAATAATAAGCTTCCCTACAACTCTATTTTACTTATTTAATATATCTGTATTAATTTTTCAAATCAAACGTATAACTGACCGAATTTGTTACAAACTATATCATTGACTATAGAATATATATATTTAGAAGCATGCTGCAATTATGGAAAAGACTTTCCTAATTAAATCTGAAATTACTTACAAATATAATGCACATCAGTAACATTCCGACAATCCAAGTGAAAAGACCCACGTTCACAAAATTACGCTGCTTCAGCAATTCCTCTTTGAAAGTATCTAATTTTGCATATGGTATCAGATCCTTCAGAAACATTTTCTATACGTGGCAACACGCTGTGTCGAATATCCTTCCTGGCTGCCGTCTCCTTCGACTCAACTCCTTAAGGTCCGCTTAATAGCTCAGCGCGATTACAAGTCTCAGTCCAAATTGAACGACTTCTGACACATTGCGAACACAAAACATAACTGTGTGGAAAATCGCAGCGAAAAAGCATAAAGACCGCGGCGATTAAAAGGAAAGTTCCACCGAATCGGCAGCGCATGCCAACACGCAGCACAAGTATGATAGTGTGGGTGTGGGTGTGTGTGCGTGCAATCAAACTGTAATTGAAAATCCACGGAGAAAAATGTTAGTGGCAGGTGTTGTTGTGATAAAGTTAAGTACCCCCACATTTGTTCACAAATGATGTGTATGTGTGTATGTAGACACTTGGATTCATAAAATGATTTCATGATTAATCCCAATCAACAAATGCAATAATTATTCGTACAAGTAAATACTTAATTCGGAGCAAACGGCGCAAAATGAAATGAAAAAGCATTGTTACTGTGCGCCCCTGCCAAAGTAAAAGACAGCGCGGCGCGCACTTGCAGACAAAATTAGAAACCGTAAAATTGCAGAAAACCCATTGGCACCAGCTTCTTCATGTGGAATGTGTGTTTGTTAGCTATTTACTTACACTAAGCAGTGAGTGAAAATGGTGCACTTGAGAAATTTACGCATTAGGTTATTTCAAAAGTGATCGGCAAAGACGGCTCCGCAAATTAGACTCTATACTAATCTAAGTTTCAAACCCGCATTTATAATAATGTTCTGGTTGTGAATTCACAGTGGACTTTTTCAAAATTTGGCTTAACTCAAACCCTTTTCCCATTGTGAATATTATTATCACATAACCGTAATCTATACCTTTCAAAAAACAACAAATTTACAGAACTCGATTGCGTCTGAAAGCAAGAAAAGGGAGAAAGGTGTTGCCGCGAAACGAAACGACCAACTTTTATCAAATAATTTCAAAATCATACATCAATCCCAATATATGACTTAATTGCCATTCGATTAACTGACTATACTGATTAACTGATAAATACTGTAAATGCCAAGCACGAAAACAATTGGCCTAGTCTTGCTTGTGGCACAACAAGAACCTGCTGGAACTCGGAACCGGATGCAGGTACTTATGGGTTGGACGGTATGACTAAGCTGTTATAGAAAACTGATAGAGCACACCTTAATGGAGAGTGTTCCGGCATACCTATATATAAGTTTATAGATATACGTACTTGACAACGTTTAAGTATGTATATGCACACATTTGCCGTTGCAACGGAAATTGAATATTTCTTTGAAATTTGTATAACATTTCAACAAAAATTAAATTTCAACGGATTTCCTCTGAGCTGCAATTACAAACCATTGTAAATTAATAACTGAAATATATTTATTAAACAAACTTACCGGAACTAGTTTGCTTGCCTTCAAACGGTATTTAGAGATTAATTTTGCAAATGTTGCAATGAATAATCGTTTAGCAGCTAATTGTTGAAACGCTGCTCCTAAAATGATTTGAGTTCAAATAGATGGCATGAACTGTTGATACTTCCACTAAGTACACCCTATTTCCTCTTTAACTTGATCTGTAATATGGTTGGAAAAACTGCACGACTTAAGGTCGTATATACCCCACTGATACTTCGGTGTAGTATGATTTCCGAAATAACAGCAAATTAATAGCTTGAAATCAATACGACACTTTTAAAAAATATTTAGGTACATACATAATTTATTGATTTCAATAAACTCTTTCATACAATGACATTTTTCCCTACAAAAACGGTAAAAAATTTCATCCGAAATACAAAAACAAAATCGTGGGTATATATTTTTTTTTCAATTAAAATAAGTATTTCTAATTGTAAGAGTATTTTTAAGTATAAAACAAAAAGGAAAAACATTTGATATTCTTGCTAAAGCTCTTTTGGAGTCGAAAGCAAAAATAACGTTCTCATATTGTATTGACTAGATGAATCTAGCCCTAGTTTGCTTGTTGGTACCACATCGCTAGATTGTCAGCTTTCGGCGTTAATGAGCTTCACCACTTTTTAAATAACTTTTAAAACTCGCAGGCTATCTTTCTTAACATAAAATTGAGTAAATCAACTGTTACAGTTGACACCTAAAACTCGAAAGGAATGCTTGGCACGGGGTATTTGTAGCCGTCATCCTTGGGTGTTGGCTGAGGCTTGGGGGGTGGCGGACGTGTCACAGGTGGGGGTGGTGGACGTGTAGTCTTCGGTGGTGGTGGACGAGTCACTGGTGGTGGTGGACGAGTTGTAGGCTTTGGTGCTGGTGGTTGTGGTTTGTTGGTGGGTGGCAGGTAAGTTGGTGGCGGTCTCGTCACTGGAGGTGGAGGACGAGTTGTCTTCGGTGCTGGTGGACGAGTCACTGTGGTGGTGGTGGACGAGTTGTTGGCTTAGGTGCCGGAGGCTGTGGTTTGTTTGTGGTGCAAGTAATTGGAGGTGGGCGTGTCACCGGGGGGGGTGGACGAGTTGTCTTCGGTGCTGGTGGACGAGTCACTGGTGGTGGTGGACGAGTTGTTGGCTTAGGTGCGGAGGCTGTGGTTTGTTTGTGGGTGGCAAGTAAGTTGGAGGTGGGC